TTCCACTAAGCTCAGGAGAAGGCTTTAAGATTTTAATTAGTTCATTATATTCCCACCTGAGTTGAGGACGCAGGTGAAGCCAAATGAGAATTCTTATTTAGTATAGATGTGTGGACCTTTCTAAATTAACTCATCAGAGTCCAGTACGCACACCCAGAATTAGATTCCATTTAACACCTTAAATGGGAACACTATAAAAATTTATGAGGATTGAACTAGTTTAAACAAATTCAATAAATGAATTATTTCCTAGTTAATTCATGCGAACACACAAGTAATATACAATTCCCCTTCCAGGCATAAACATCACAAGCAATTAGATCGAATACTTGCTTCCTATCATTAGACAAGAACAAATAAATTCCATCATGTCCAAATTTCGGGCATGTGAGACCATAGAATTAAAAACAAAAAAGAAACCAGGAAACCCAATGCATAGATATAAATATACAAACATTTAATTATACATTTAGAAAAAAATAGAAAAGTACCAATCTGAAGATAAATATCTCACCTATTTATATATATTATACATGGATAGTGTGTTTATTATATACACAGATGCTGTATAGCAGGCATAGTCAACCTTCGGCACTCCAGATGTTTTGGACTACACATCCCATGAGGCTTTGTCAGCATTAAGGGTGTAAGAGCATTATGGGGATGTAGTCCACAACATCTGGAGTGCCAAAGGTTGCCCATCGCTGCTATATAGTATACACATGGAGGCTGTATAGTTGGGGTTACCATATCCACCCTGTTTTCAGAACACATATCATGTATACATATTCATGGGCAGCGATTGAAAAGGGTTGCTCTGTAGTATGTAGAATTCAGAAGAAGGTCTGTAAGATTTCGTATTAAGGCAATGAATAATCCTGCAGAATATGCGTTATGCATACAGCAGGGCAGCCCTTTTCATGAGTTTTCATAAATATGACAAAAGGATATCTGTCCCTGAAGACATGGTGAATATGGTCACCCTATGTATAGTATATACATGAGTGTGGCTAGTAAGATATGGCGTGTGAACTCAAGTGCAACTGCTGTCACCCCCAAATGGTTTCTGAAAATAATAATTAATTGTAAAATTATAAAGGCATATTTATATTAAAAGTATGAATAGTCAGAAATTCTAAGTGAATTGCACATTTGAGGAAAAAAACAAACTGAAAACATAGCTAAATTTGAGAATTTTTTCAATTTCAATTTTTCCGATTAAATTTTTACCTTTGAACCTTTACCTTTACATAGTCTTAAATTAGAGGGACAAAGGTTTAAAAATAATATCAGGAAGTATTACTTTACTGAGATGGTAGTGGATGCATGGAATAGCCTTCCAGCTGAAGTGGTAGAGGTTAACACAGTAAAGGAGTTTAAGCATGCGTGGGATAGGCATAAGGCTATCATAACTATAAGATAAGACTAGGGAGTAATGAAAGTATTTAGAAAATTGGGCAGACTAGATGGGCCGAATGGTTCTTATCTGCCGTCACATTCTATGTTTCTATGTTTCTATGTTTGAAATCCACTTTAAATTCCTGACAACTCACACTTTGTGAATAATCTGGTAATTTAACCAAATGCTTACAAAAAATTCCAGCCCAGCTCAGCCATGATGCAAAGCACACTGCAATGTTTATGGTCCCACTGATGCTGTCCAATGGTAAGGAATGATATCTTATTTAACTGGTTTGACACTTACATGAGTCCCCAGGTCCTTTAAGTCTTCCATGATATCCCTGAAGCAGACATTCCCATTCCATTTTAGCAATATCAATTCTGTCCTTATTTGTACCTTAGCATTCAGCTAATGAATATAGTCCTAACAGAGACACAATTAGAATTTCTAAAGCAAAACGGGATCTTCTACTTTAGCAATATCACAGAAGCCCAGAGGGACCCTTGGGACCACATGAAGACTTCTGGCACCACAACTTGGTTATGGTGCTTACACTGCTCCTTTACAATACAGACACGAATATCTTGCAGGTGTTTCAGAACAAGTGGGAAAAAAGGGGGGACAGGGGACACAACCGGAACATGTATTTCTAAGTAGTGGTGCTGCTATAAAGACCAGAATATATACAGATCAGGGAACAGAGCACACACAAGCAAAATACAGTTTTACATTTTACAAGGCTACTAAGCATCTTAGCAAAGTCATATGGGGATTCAGTTCCACCATATGGACATACAATGTCAAGCCCACCACTACCAGCCTTGTAAAATTTAAACTGTATTTTTAAAATTTACTTTGTGTGTGTGCTCTGTTCCCTAGTATGTATTTACGTATATATTTTGGTCTTTACAGCAGCACCACTATTTAAAAATGTATGTGCTGGTTGTGGCCCCCCAATTCCCCTTTTTTTCTGTGCAGATTTGTAATCCAGACCAGATTCCTTTTGGGCTAAACACCCAAACCATCCACTGTAGGTGCTCATGTGGAGGTGACCACATGAAAGCATGAATTAAGGAGATTCTCTGGAAGTAGTTTCAGTAGTAAGTATTGCTGTTAGCATGTTAATATCTGATGTTAAAATTAGTGTAGGACCCATCGATATTGGGATCCTGTGATGTAGTGGTGGTCCTAGCAAAATATGGGCAAATGGTGTAGCTGAATCCCCATGTTGTTTGCTGTGATAGGTGATTTAAGTAGCCTTGCAAAATGTAAAATGTATTGTTTTGTGGGTCGCTGTTCCTTAACCTGTTTTAGAAAAAGTGGCCAAAATAAGTGCTGCACTCCCCACTTAATGTTAGTACTATTGATTTAGTATTCCACATTTTCTGATTAGTGACTATATTCTTTTTTTATTGCATTATACTGGTTATTTCTGAAGCAGATTCTACCTCATAAAAATAAAATCAGTCCCAATGTTCTGAAAAATGAAGTAAATAATGTTAACATCTAAACCAAGTCATTCTTATGTTGGAAAGATGTGTGGTTTCCCACAGGGACTTACAAATCAGTCATTGTCTCTGAATGCCTCACAAGGCACAGAGAGATCTTCAAATGCTTGACAACACTTTGTGAAACCTTAGATGGAGGGAGGAAATTATTGCATTAAAAATGTAAACTCAAATTCTAATCCAGTGGCATTTGACATTGCCAATGTCATTATATTAAAATATTTATTTTTCTTAAAAAGCAAATAAAAAAAATCTGTCTGTCTCTCAATCTATCTGTCTCTCAATCTATTTATCTATCTATCATCTATCATTCAGGATTTGTATCATAAAAAGACAGTTTTAGATACTTTTTTGTTTTTCTTATTTTTACTAAGATAATAAAAAGATGTTTTAAATATGAATTACTTTTAAAAAGATTACAACTGCAAACACTTCATATTTTCACCAACCAGCATTGTCACCATAACTATTCAAACCAACACATCTTGAATCCTGAGAAATCTAGCAGAAGAAAGGGTTCTGGACAATAAAACCAATAAAGATGTGGAATCCTCAGCCCAAAACAGGTCATTTATCATATTCTATACAGTTTTAAATGTCTGGATGCTTTTTTGGGAGAAATAATATTTTTTTATAAGGTTGGTGATATAAGAAGGATTAGAACTGTTATTTTGGAGTCAAGAAGGATTTCCTTTCCCCAAATTTTGCAAAAATTACAAATTGCTTACAAATTGGGTTTTTCACCTTCCTTTGGATCAACAGAACCATCATGTTGATCCAAAAATTGGATCAGCCGAATCAATTAAGCCACAATTTATTTTATAAATTGGTCAACAGGATTTCAATCGTGTGGCAGTTCAGCTCGTCAGAATATCATCATAGTTACATAGTAACATAGAAAGGGCTTGTTTGCCTCCCTATTCAGCTCCTGGGAGGTCTGCTTAATTCCAAGCTCCTAGTTCCTGAGATCTGCATAAGCTGAATCAGGGTTCTGGTATGTGGCTGCACAAATGCTGGAGCTCAGCACCAAGGGGCGTGCGGTTGCCCTGCACCAGGCCCTGATAATCCACTTCTACGCTGAAGACTCCCACTTCTCATCAGGGGTCCCGGTTTCCTTACCGCCACCCGTGACACCAGCTAAATTGCAGGCCTCACATAAATATAAGCACAGGTCATAGGGTGTCATAGAAACATAGAAACATAGAAACATAGAAACATAGACCTGAAACACTGCTGCAGGTCCAGGCTGAAACAAAAGGAAAGTGGAAAACAAATGGGTGTCGCAACATAAAACAAACATTTAAGTGAATCCAAGAGACTGGGAAATCCAGGGATGGAATGTAAAAATGAACCCAGAAACCCAGCAACAAAGAAAAGCAGAAAAACCAAGCAAGGACAGCAAAAAGAGTACTGGATACCAGAAGCCAAAGCCAGTTATCTCCGCAGAACATGGCATGATGTGACAGCTGGGTAGGAATGAATGAAAACTGAGGATATCATACCTGTACCAGAACATACAAAAATAGCTACTATTAATCAATTGTAAGCAGTTTGGTAGCTTTTAAAGTGGGTTGTGTAGCTTGATGTGGGCTTGGCTATATGGGTGTGAGTGTCAGTAGGTGCCTCATTATTTTGATCAGCCTCGCTTTTCGGGCCTGGATTATAGATAATAGTGGTGTTGCAGCAAAAGAAGCTTGGGCCGACTCTAGCTGTTAGTGCCCCTAACAAAGGGGGCTGTGGGGAGAAGGGAAAAAGTCACGGTAAGTGTAAGGCTCTACCCCTGCTGTACCCCTATCTTATGGAGCATCACCCATCCTTTTATATGGAGAACTGTTATTTTCCAGCTCCTACACAAGGAGAATGTTTTGGTTGCGGTAACCTTGTTTAGCCATATGAACAAAAAAAGATAGAGAAAACTGTTTAAACAAATGTGAAATGGTGTGGAATGAGTGCAGCCCATTGCTACCTGTTGCTCATTGGGATCTGAGCTTCATCATGTCCTGGTGCTCGTGGTCGTGCGGTCCCGTGGGGTGAAGGGGACTACTGTGGTTGGGTCCCAAGTGGTCTTTCCTCTCCGTTCTCTTATCGACTTGCCAAGGGCGGACAGCCCCAGTGCTCGCAACAATGCAGGTGCCTCTCCAGCTGAAATTATCTTATGGCCAGACCCATTGTGGGTCACCGTAAGGGCTCTTGGAGTAGTCCATTGGTATGTAACTCCTCCATTTCTCAGTTGGCTCATAGTTGGGAGGAGCATTTTGCGCCATTGCAATGTGGACCGCGATAGGTCTTGGTAGAAGGACAGGTCGGCACCCTCAAATGTGTAAGGTGTTTGGTTTCGCAGAGCTGGGAGGAGTGCCTTTTTGTCTTGAGCCAGGGAGCAGTGAACTATGATGTCACTCACAGCATTCGTTTGAGCCCTTGGTGATTTTGGTAGGCGGAACATGCCATCAAAAGCGAGCTTTTTGGCTTGTGTCAGTACAAATTTTTTTTTAACCTTTTCCATGCTCTTTGTATTACTTACACTATAGAATCCCTTTAATTATGACTATTCATTCCAGCCATCCACTTTTTAGGTAGGCATGTGTATGCAGGGCCGAACTGGCCCACCGGGATACCGGGGAATTTCCCGGTGGGCCGCAGCACCTGGGGCCGGCAGGAAGCCCTAATGTGTCATTTAAATAATTTTCCCTTGGACTGTAACAGCCTGTGTCAGTCCGAGGGAACGAAGGGAGAGAGGGGCTGGGGCTGGAGGGAGGTCCTGGTGCAGCCCATTTTGGCTGCCAGGGGGCCGGAGGGAGTTCTGAGTCTCCCTCCTAAATCTGCAGCAATCGTGTCTCTATTCTCTGCCCCCGGACTCAAGCCCCGTCTCTTGGACTCAAGCCCCACCTCCTGTGATCAAGCTCTGCCCCCACACATGCTGCTGACCTGGAAGGAAGAGGTCAGAAAATGGAGACATCAGCTTTCTGTGACAGGTAAGTAAGGTGAAATGGCTGTGGTGCTTTAGAGTGCAAAGTTACTTAAAGCTTACCTAAACCTCCTGGGGGGCAGAGAATTGTTTAGACTGAGTCTAAAAACATATGGTTGCCATGGTTGACTGCCCACAGTTTATAGACTCTATGGAATGCATTTTTACAGACTTCCATTTATTTATCCCATTTTATTTTTGTCTTTACACTATATATCCTTATCTTTAAGTTTCTCTAATTAAACAAATTGATCTAGTTATATTGATTTTGCCAAAATTATATTTATTTTAAATCTACAAATTAATTTGGTCATAAGGCAAAATAAATCGTTTTGGAGGCATTTTAAAAGTAATATATATATTATTATTATTTATATATTTGCTTTGAGTTTTATTTTTCTTAATAAAACAAAATAAGTTTTCTGAGTTTCAGATTCCACTAATTTCGAAAGCATTTCTCTCTCTCTCTCTCTCTCTCTCTCTCTCTCTCTCTCTCTCTCTCTCTCTCTATATATATATATTATTTTTTTTATTTTTTTACCATGCACCTTTTATTAACATAAAGTGTATAATCCAGGAATTATTTTAGAGACCTGAAGCTCAGTGACATTGGTTATATTATATAATCTGTGGCATGAGCAAGATGTTTATATTCTCAAACCTATAAACCTAATCTATTTATTTCTTAAATAAGAAAAAATTTAAAAGACTATGTGCATTCACACAGTTCCACATAAGATTGCACTGGTCTGTAGAAAAAAATCAATCAATCCTGGGATACAAGAATCTGTTCACTAAACAGTGAGTGTAAGTAAGTTTAAAATTGGGGTTCATCCACTATACACTGAATGCATTCAAAAGGAAAAACAAACTGCCAAGATTTGAGGGGAAAGTGTTCAGTTTACAAATGTCCCAGTCATACAAAGCTATTTACTAAACTGAGATTTTAAAGTGAACTTCAAACTGAAGATAAAAATTGGCGAACTGAAAAAATTCTCTAAGTCAGCTTTGCTTCTAGGTCGACTACTGGACTAGCCTTAAATTTGAAATGCACTTTTAATTGTCACTTTCATACATAACCCTGTTTGCTGTCTTAGACTAAATGTAATAATTCGGTTTTGAATTCACTCCAATTTGGTGTTTAGTGAACAAACCACTACAACCGTGGTTTATATAAAGGTAAACCAACTCAAACAATTTATCTGCATAATATTCCAAAGGTTGGGGGGTAGGATTTTTCAAAAAGCCAAAAAATAAATACTTACATTTAATAAAATAAATAAATAGTGATTTATTATTATTATACATACACACATTAAAGAAATTCTACACTCTCTGCTTCAGTCCATGACAGTGATTGTGTGTGTCTGTCTGCTAGTGAGTGAGCTTGTGTGTGTCAGCGAGCTTTTCTGTTGTGAGCATGTGTGTGTCAGTGAGTTTGTCTGGAGTGAGCATGTGTATGTGTCAGAGAGCTTGTCTGGAATGAGAGTGTGTATATATGAATGAGTTTCTCAGTAGTAAGCTTGTGTGTGTGTGTACCAGTAAGTTTGTGTGTGTCAGTGAGCTTGTGTTTTTATGTCAGTGAGCTTATGTGTATCAATGAGATTGTCTGTCTGTCTGTCTGTCTGTCTGTGAGCCAGTGTATCAATGAGTCAGTGAGATTGTCTGTGCCATGTGAGATGTCAATAAAAAGATAATACATACTATATATATATATATATATATATATATATATATATACATACATATATATATACATACTATATATACCCTGAATGACCAAATATTTTAAATTAGAAAAAGAGACATAGTAATAAAATACACACACACACACACTTTTCAATCCATACCAGCACTCTGGGTCGTCCAGTACAAAAAAAAATGTATTCATCAGGACAATAAAATGATAATACATACTATATATACGTGCGCGTATATATAGTATCTATCTTTTTATTGTCCTGATGAATGGCCCTATAATGTTTTGTTTATATATATATATATATATATATATGTATGGGGCTGGCATACATTTTTTTTCCAGGGCTGCTTTGTATCCCCAGTCCGGCCCTGTGTGTATGCATATAACAATTTCCATATAAAAGAATATGTAGGATGGAAACAAAAATAAATGAATGATTCTGTTGCATAGAATGTTATAATGTCAGCTACCCCTTTAAATGTTTTATTTTTCTCTACAAAAGAACAAATTAACCTAGTAAGGTTGAGGAAAACAATATATTATTTTGTATACATGAGATGCGTTATCACAAATATTATAAAAAATATTTTCACGTAAAACATGTTAGGCATGCACTTGATAAATAGAATGAGCGAAAAATAAACAGATCAATAGAAATCTGTTGTTTAGCAAAAATGACTTGAAATTGATAACAAAGGGAAAGCTATCTACTGGTGAAATTTGATTACAGCAAGAAAGAATAAAATAAAAACATACAAACTCATTTCAATAAATTAATTAAAATCTATGAATTTTGGACACAATGGAAATGTATGGAAATATTTAATCTCTATGACTCTCTTGTGACTGGGACCTTTGACCTCAAAGCTCCAACCTTTGACCTTATTTAGCTCATCCCATAGGACATATCTAAATATAGCAACATTGTTTCATAGACAATGGCTTCATAAATCCTTTGTTAATGTTGCATTTATTTAACAACCTTATATGCTGCTGGCTGATTGTGTTTAGGTTGCACTTTATTATATCTTAGAAATACAATCTTATAACAACAATTAAGCAAAGATAAATTGCAACACAAAATACATATATTACACTTTATACTGACATGTATGATGAATTATTTTCTACTTTTTAATTCGGCAAAATTGTGGAATATTTGACTGACACAATTAATCATTTTCATGAGCCTTGAGTTACCGAACTAAAGAATACAATTATATGAATAAAAATAATAATATAAATCATATTATAGAGATTATGTTAGGGAGATCATGTTTATTTATGAAGTGGTAAAGTTCTATTTATGTATTTTAAGCACCATTAGAGGGAAAAAATGGCTTCACAGTAGTTCATCACACATATATAACCTTAAAGAATATGATATAGGCATTTCAACTATAACCAGGAGAATACCATTATACAAGTGCTTTAAATCCCAATGAGTATGTTGGAATGCTATGGTTGACTTTGTACCACTCCATTTACCAGTGCTTTATAATAACAACCATCATTTTGTAGATGTATCTTTACTCAATGGATTAAGACTGGCATCAAGACATAATTATAGCCCAGGTGGGTGAAATCCAATGAGGTTGATCATGTCAAAAGTAGATGAAAATAAAAAAGTGCCCACCTGGCATTTTCTTTTTTCAGGTAGTTCATTCATGTAGAGGTCAATGAATGATTACCAGATTAGCGTTGGGTAATCCAAACTTTAAATTACCATAATATAAATTTACTAAATACTCTTAACTTGTCACCCAATGCATTTGCTTTTGTTGACAGTATAACGTTAATTCTAATTATGTCTTCGACAACAATACTAAGATGGGTTATTATTTAATTTCTTCCATCCAATCTCCATAATCATCATTGAGTCCAAGCTATTTGAGAGATTTACATAGATTCCTCTCATTTATTTATTTCAATTTAAAATGGTATTGTTTACTTGAAAACAAAGTTGACAGGTAAGGACATACAGTATAGACATCGAATGTACTCAAGTCATGAAATCAATGTAACATAAAAAAAATGTCAGTAGCAGAAAAAAGGGAAAACTGTTATTCAAATTATAAACACTGACATTCCAAAGTACAATCAGAGTAGATACTGCAATAATTTCAGGGTTCATTCTTCTCTCTTGTTCAGATACATCAGGGGAAAAATTCTTGTTTGCTGTAACATGGACTCTTCTAGAGGTCAACACTTTACCAACCATGAATTGATCTAGCGGTCCCAAAAATAGATGGTTATTATTACTCATTAAGGAAACTTGAAAACCCTACTGCTATTACATTGTATATATGCCACTTTCTAATCGGAACCATTTAGTGTTATTTGATCAGATAGCTTCTGTTTAATAAGCACATGATCAGTTGACCAATTTATTGCTAGAAAAGTGTTGCCAGCTACAGTAATATGAAATATTAGGAATAAATGCAATTTTTGGAAGGTTTGTGGAAAGCATAAATAGCAGAAAACGCTCTATGATTGGTGCAACATAGAATCCGACAGAATATTTAGTTATGTCAACTACCATAGACCAATACAAGTTCAGCACGTGTGGAGCATGGGAAGTCTGTCCTTGAAACATGTCCGGCACTACTAAGCCACCTTCATGTAGAAGCCTTTTGTGACTTATAAGCCTTTGAGCTTTTTCCAATGCTTTTGCAGATCTGGGGCACAATTTGGAGTCCCCTCAATTTACGGCCTGACAATCCAAATATATTATTTTTGTTATCTTCAGATAATCTCACACAGATATTTTTCAGAC